CACAGAGAATTGTCGCCGATGGCTACTTCTTTTTGTTGCAATATATAATACTTCACGGAGAATTGTCGCCTATGGCTTCTTGTTAAAATTGTCAATGGAAAATACCTTGCCAAACAATGCAATACCTATTTAAGTTAATTAAACACTCACTCATTAATTAATTAATTTCCTAAGATACAAAAGACATGTTGGTGAAAGTTAGGCACCCAGGTAATATCAATAGTTCCACGGACAGCTATGTAGGCCGGAGCTTCTATTGCGTGCGATCTACGTTTGGTCAGAAAATACACCCCCCCCCCCAACACACACACACACAAAAACACCGATCCGGGAACGCCTGAAAAGGAGGCTTTTAATAAGCTTTGCCTGCAGCGCCTTGATTGGTCGGACGTGTGACCCTCTGGACTGCCGGCTAATGGAAATCTGAACATCTAGACTAATCCACACTGCTAATGCTCATTGACATAATTTATGCAGTTTATTAAAATCCTTGATTACTGTGAATCCTTGATTATAGACATGTCTTTATCAACATTTTTGGCAAATAATAAAATCAAGTTATTGTTCAAGACAAATTAAGTTTGTTTTGTCAGCAGCTTTGTTATGCAACATTAATAGAACTATGATTTTGAAATTAGCAACCATAATGGAAAGTATACAAACGTCCAAGGCATAAATGGTAAAAAGTGCACTCGCAACAACGACATCTAGCGACATGCGGCAACTCAGCATGTCTGCATGGCCGTCGCAACAACGACATCTAGCGACATGCGGTGACTTAGCATGTCTGCATGGCCGTTGAAGGGTGGAACCGTTGATCCATCCATCCGTTGATCCAATCTCAATCTCGTCTGAGTTACCATTTTCGCGCATGCGAAAATGGTAAAAAATAGGCCACAATCTTTCACTGGTCTTTTATACAAATGTACGGAAATCTCCAACCAAATCCTTTGGGTATCTTTTCAAACTCAAACATGAGATTTCTAAAACAGAATTTAAGGGAAAATTTGTTTTCTGGACATTCCTAATTTATGATAGAAAGTTTAACCTGAAAAAAATAGGCCGGGATCTTTCCTACAATGAAATCGTTGATTTTTTATATGAAAATCTTCCAGCAAATGTCTTGGGGATCTTTTCAAACTCAAAAAAGATACCAGTGCAAAAAAGAAAGCCTGATGTAAAAACAAAAAAAAAAAAACATGCCAAAAATAAGCCAAAACCCAAACCTCTGCTTGGAGAGTAAAACTGGCTTGGCCTAAGTAAGACCTTGAGCGAAGCACCTGCCTCTGGTCTCACTCCTTACCACAGGTGATCACTCATGTCAGGACGGCAAACCTTCCTGTCCTATATAGATATGCCACGCGGAGGCTGATTTCCCTTGTGTAAAGGATTAATCCAAGTTCAACTTCAAAGTTTGCCCCCCTCATTAGATCCAATTCAGTCAGCCAGGCCCGGTAATGTAAAGCACACCCCCAGAATCGGGCAACCTTAGAAGCCATAGCCTCCGTAGCAGGCTTGTAGAACTGGGGGTTTGGTGGTCTTTTCGGCTGTTTTCTGATCAGCCCAGTTCTAAAAACGGGGGTAATTCAACCAGGCTGGCTATGTTGTCTATATGCAATCAGAAAATAGCACATAAAAACTCCCAAAGACCCTGAAGAACCACCAAAACCCCCAGTTTTTGTTTGGCATGCTGTGGAGGCTAAGAAGCCATTACTAGGTTTAATGATTGCCAACATTTGCGTTGGTCATTCTAGTGCTGTGAACTTTGCGCAAATGTTCGAGGAAGGACGACTTAACGTTTTTTTCCCCTTTGACAAATTACTGGGAAAAGGTTAGGCTTGTTTGTAATCAGTAGGAGGAACTGTTGGACTGATGAGAAGAGATTTAATTAACGACCAGAGCTCATCAAGGATTCGCAGGCTGCATCTTTAACAAAGGCATGGGGAAACTCATGTGGGGAAAAAAGTACTTGGAAAAGGTTAATTTTTTTTCTTAATTATTGAAGGAAGGTTTAATTCTTTGGATAATTTCTTTGCTACACTTTTTTACAGAGATAAAACAACAATCATACCAGCGTTAAGTTCAACCCTTTCCATCTAGATTTTTTGAAAGGTTAATTTTTTTTCTTGATTGTCAAAAGGAGTTTTGATTTACAACTTCCAGCATTTGAATAACTTCTTTGCTACATTTAAATCTTCAAGTATAACACATCTAGAGATTAAACAACATTGATACCAGTCAGTAAATCAATCAATCAAAATGGTTTATTACTAAAATCACGAACATTGTAGCAGAAAGCTGAATTGCTTTCAAAGATGTACATTCCTTTTTTTAAAACATTTAGACTACACAATCTTGGAGTCAATTCTGACAGTAGATTTGCGCATTAAAAATATTTGCACGATATTGCATCAATTTAGCGTAGTCAAATTCTAATTTTGCTCATTCATAGTTGTCTTTTACATATCAAAATTACATTAAACTATTTCATATACATGCACAATACCTGCATGTAACTTCAACCCTTTCTCACCATCAAGATGTAATCGGGTGACCACCCATGTTTTTCTTGTAATAAAAATTCACCTGTCTCATCAACCTTTCAGTGTTTCCTACCAATCCTTCTGCCGCGTTTGGAAATCAAAGCATATTTCTCATACTGAGCCTGACACTTGCGGCCCTGACACCCTCTGTCAGCTGACAGAAGCATCTAGTGAGCTACCGTACCCTTGGAAATATTCACTGTTTCGTAATTATCAAGCAGTGTTTCTATCCCATGCAATTGTGAACTCAGAAAGATAGCCTCTACCAGGCTTTGGGAGGCAGCTTGAAAGAGTAGAAATTGGTCAAATAGAGAGACAACATGCCGGGGGAGTTGGTCTGCTTGGAGAGTACAGTTTGCTGCACCCGAATTGTACTCTCCAAGTGGAACAACTCCCCTGGCATGTTGTCTCTCTATTTGGTCAATTTCTAGTATCTCCAGCCGCCCCCAACGTCTTGCAGAGGCTAACAGCAAAATGCAATTTGTAGGTGAGGGAAAGTATATTATGTTACAACATTTACATACTATTAGACAATTTTTGAGTAGTTTTCAGACTTTTATTCTGAAAGTTTTGTGCAAATATTTTGCCTTTTACAGTAGACAGTTTAAGCATATTTCTTGGAAGGTCTCTTATCAGGAACAGGTGCATGTGTTCTCTAATTGGACGCTGCAAGTTTCTTGGTTAATTGTAGGCTGTATAGATAAAAGTTTCATCAAAAACAGAAAGAACAGTTCAGGGTAGACTTTGAACAAGATTGTAGATTATAATGTCATCTGATACAGTACAAATTCCTTGATTTATAAGTAAAGGCAATATTTTGACAGAAGAAAGTTTAATCAATCAATCTGTTAATCAATCAATCAAATCCTTAACTTGGTCTCTCAGAAGTGTGTTGTTAATAGATCATAGTTTTTTTCTCAACTCTTTTTTCAATATTTTCATAACTTTTGATATATTGATAACCAATTGAAGAAGGAGAAAATATAACAGGAAAAAAAATCCAAAAGTATTATCAGAAAGTTCTTTAACTTTAGTTAAAAGTTTCTTTAACTTGTTGATGCTATGTACATTGTAATATACAGTACTCAAATCAAACATTGTTCTCACGTTTATTCTAATCAAAGAAAAAAAGAAAGAAATCCCATTATTGTTAAGTATTGTATTTCATAGCTTTTGACAGTTGAACTACTCTAGACAGATGAGGCATCTTTCTCCCAACATCCTCCTCATAACTCCTGCAATCAAATGTGCAAAGATTGAGTGTAGCAAGTCGTTCGGTGTGATATAGCTAGCTGCCGCCGTGCCGCGTGCCTGCAAAGCTGGTGTGTTACGCCGAAGGGCGGTTATACCGGCTATACCGATACAGATACAGGAGGGCCTGCAAGGGGGGGTCCCGACAACGCTCTACGCTGAATTTGGAAACCTCTCAATTACGCTTTACAATAAATTCCAAATGGCTACAACGCATTACATAGAATTAAAACGCTGAATACGCTCTACACAAAATGCAAAGAGCGGTCTGTCTACGCTCTACGTAGAATTAAAACGGCCGATTACGCTCTACGGAAAAGGGCTTGAGGGCCCCCATCTTTCTACCAGCATCCTGTGAGGGAATAGATTGTGGCTTGTCAGTTACAGGAGACAAAAAAATGTGGCCGAACCCCAAACTCTTAATGAGAACCACATCTCCAACAGACAGGGGTGCACATGGTCCTGGTTCTCTCTGTGCATCTTTGTCAGGTCTGATTAGCGTAGGAACAAGTTAGTACATGGGTTCAGCATGGGGTCATGTGGGGAGGGATCATTAATCATCCCGAACTGGTCGCTTGAGGACTAAAATGCTTACGTTATGTACACCAAAGGGGGCTTAAAGCATCATCCCCATTTTGGTATAGTTTTTATCCTTGATGAAGTTATCTAGGAATTGCAGATAGACCTGGGATTGTATGAGAAAACATCTTTTGATACAAACAACTCTTTTGATAATAATTAGGTATTTATTTATAGACATGCAGATTTTCAAATATGAAAGTTTACCTATTTATTTGTCATTTTTTAAAAGTAATACAGTACCAATAATGTTTTTATCAAATAAAGCATTCAGCCACAGAAAAAAGGTTCCCCAATTTTTTGTGAACACAACATTTTTCTGAAAAGTTGTTAGTGACTTCTGTATTGTTACACTTTCTTTACATCTCTATGTCTCAATGTCTCCTGTGTATGATTAATTTGGGACCTGTACTGTTGCTATCAAGTACAGTGATATTGTGCAATTTACATTGTACATTGCCTTGTAACATTGCATATTTTTCCTGTTGTTTAAGCCCACTTCTCCTGGACAGCATTCTAAACATTCGAATTTTTGCCATCTAAGAAAAAATATAAAACTATCATCTAAAAACAAACACACAAATAAACAAACCTGTTTATTAACATTTTGCCATTTTTCTTTTACAGTTGAGTCCGCTTCTTCAAGATACGATTCTCAAGGGCACCTTCAACGCTACGCTCAACAATCCGGTCACGACGGCATACGACACCGCTAGCCAATCAGAAACCACGAAACAAGCCTTCCTGCTCGGAACTGTTTAGCCAATCAGAGACCACGATACAAGCCTTCCTGCTCGGAACTGTTTAGCCAATCAGAGACCACGAAACAAGCCTTCCTCCTAGGAACCGTTTAGCCAATGAGAGACCACGAAACAAGCTTTCCTCCTCGCAACTGTTTAGCCAATCAGAAACCACGAAACAAGCTTTCCTGCTCGGAACTATTTAGCCAATCAGAGACCACGAAACAAGCTTCAAACTGTTTAAAACCACGGAATTCTGGAATGCTACAAAAAATGTCTGCAATTTTGTTGGTTCTACTTCATCCAATAGAAAGTCTTGTTACGTGCACACACCAAAGTGTCGATCTAACAAGCAATCTCATTGGCTTTGGTTCATCCAACAGGTGGTCGATTAACCAATCAGGTGTATTGAGACATTCGTAGATACTGGACATGTAAATACAATATAGATCATTATTTGTACTCTTGGAGTGGAGCAGAATTTTGTTCCTGGTCATTTGTTCATTTACAAGTTCATTGAAACCAGTTTGGAGTCATCTTGACTTCAGAATCATGACCAATCCTTCCAGAAGTTTCCTGTGAATCGAGAAAAAAGATGTGTTGCCTATTGCTGCTGACCATTGATAAAGTGATTTTTGTATATATACACTGAATGATGTTTACCAACCACACAACTATCTGTTACACTGAAAACAGTGATAGCATACCTCATTTATTGACTGTTAGTAAAGATATTGCAAGCATGCTCCACCTTGATGTGGAAATTCCACTTTTTTTATCCCTTTGCATTTGGCTCTTGTTGTATATTGTTAAATGTTAATACAAAAATACAATAGAAGAGCTTTGGGAAAAATACTTTGAAAAAGAAATTCAGAAACAGTGGAATTTCCGAATTAAAATGATGCATATTCAAACTGATCAGCTACAGTGAGACACATATAGTTCACAAATGCCACAGAAATGTCTAAAAATGTGTGGTACATTTCACCAATTTGCAACACAAAAATGTGTATAAAGCTAGATCTGTGTATATGACTGAAGATATGTCTATTTTATATTCAGGAGAGTTTTGTATAGTACCTTGTCATGTGTGAAAATATACAGGTTTTATTGAAAATAACTCTGAGCATGTTGTCTTCTTTCATTTCATCACAATATTTTTGTCACACATATTTCTGAAAACAGGCATTCAAGATATCTAGTTGCAAGGAATTTACGGAACAACCAACGGAAGAAAAATGTTTGAAATGCCAACGAAGGGGCCTGGCACGTTAATAAGCAGTCTACACACCACCGACAACAATACAGCACATCCAACGTCCCTCGTAACAAAGAAAAGGACCGGTAACATCCGTTCATCAAAGGATACACTCATCAAAATGTTAGGCTTTATCAATTTAATTTTTTGGTTGTCGGATTTGCCCGCTTCATTTTTTTCTGATTTACAACAACAAAAAAAAACATTTCAGACTTTGAATCAACTCAAATGCTCGTATTTTAGCCCCAACAGTTGAAGGAAGTCCCTTTTCTTCAGAGTTGTTACAGTTTTTCCATCTATCAATGCAGTGGTTTGATACAAAGTTTTTAATTCATTTTTTTTTATTATAAACCGGCCTGGTATGTCGACTCCATGGCTCCTATCATAGCTTTTGGGGCTATCATACATGTAGGATGCCTTGGCCTATTTTCATTTGTAAAATTTTTTTGCACTGTCGCTTCATATTTTCCTGAAAAAAGTTCGTGAACCAACAAATCAAATTGGTGTGGCCTTAGTAATTGACGAAAAGCAGACCCTGGCTATCGGGCCGCCACCCTATCATTTCCAGGGCGTAATGGCCCATCAGGTGTGTCGTACGTGATCACCTGAGCATTCTCACCTGGGGGGAGTTAACCTGGGAGAGTAATTGAGCTGGGTGGTACACTGTATCAGATCGACAGCATGCGCGTAGCCACAAGGCTCAAAGGTCCACTTTTTGGTCCACTTTTTATCTAAAGGTCCAAGATTGTTCTTTAAAAGATGGACTGATTCGTATCACCAGCGAGGCTGGAATCGTAGGAAAACTGCCATTGAAAATTGTCATTGAAGAAAGTTCTCTCTGATTGTTTCTTTGAAATCCTCTAAAACAATGCAGGAAATGCCATTTCAGAAGGTTCATTTTTCAAAATTCAGACAGACAGAATAACTTTCTCCAAGGACATTGTGATAAAAGCTTCTTGCCTTCTCCAAGAGTCTGTTAACGGACCCCCCCCCCCCGCTGAGACAACACCCCCTCCGCAAATCACCTATTATCAGACCTGAGAATAAAAGGATTCACTCCGCCCCACCCCCCTAACCACATGGTAGGAACAAGTCAAGAGATAACGCACCTCCACACCCTCTCTAACAACCCCCTGCCGAGATAATCGCGCGTGTTTAATTACCTCGCTAATACGCCCACTGAGGAAATTACACGTTTGCCAGCCCATTGAGGCGGTTTGTCCGTCCGACTGCTTGACTCACAACAAAGAAGAGAAGCCGAAACAATGACAGTTTGATGTGGGTTAGACAAATTGATGCTAAACAGAGACAACGGCAAATCATCCTGTCATGAAAGTTCATCTGTGTCGGTAGTTACATGTTTAAAGCTTTAAAACTTTTGATCCAACACAATTCACTCACCTACATGTAGAGCTTTCGACCAGTCACTCTAGTCTCCCTCAGCAGATCATCCTAAACAGAGACAACAGCAAATCATGAAAGTTCATCTGTATTGGTACTTGGTAGTTGCATGTTTGAAGTTAAACTTTTGATCCAACACAAGAATCTACATGTAGAGCTTTCAACCAGTCACTCTAGACTTTTGACTTTTTATCAGGGTTTCTTTTTTCACACAAACCCAATGCAAACCCAGATAGATGCAAAAAAGAAACCCCGAACACGCAAAAAGGTCAGAAATGCACACACGGACACCAAAAACAATACTTGAAGGAAATCCAATTGGTATATGTATACATGTGTAGGTGCACCTGCCATACTTAGAAATGCACTACATACTTACCACTAATATCACCAATAACCTAAAGCTTCAGACTTCTAATACTGTTGGGCTTTGTAATGGAAAGTTAATTCCATTCTAACTCTTCGCTGTGCTTGTCCAAAACCCAAGAGATATCTGTAAGCTTTTGTCTAAATGACCATAAGTATATGTTAATTGAAAACACTTGACCTATGTGTATGCTGTATCTGAAATATCATTAATAATCTTTTGTGTTCCCCCAGAAATACAGAAATAAGCATATCTACAATACAAAGGTTTTCAATGTCTCTAAACCACTAACTGAATTTTACATCACTTTATCCAGTGACTTAATACATAATACAATATACAATTGTCATTTTGATGAGTTTGTTGTCTAAGGCCACACCAATTTAATTTGTTGGTTCTCTGATGTCATCATACTAGGCTGGTTTCCCGGGTATAATTCAAATGAATTTTAAATTTTCTATCAAACTATTACATTCATAGATGGAAACTAGAAAGACAAGGACCTTTTGTCAACTGTTTGGGCCCAAATATGACCATTTTGGAGTTGATTCAAGACCTGTATCCTTATCTTTTTCTTCCAAATCAGAAAGGCGAATCCAAGTACCAATATTCCACTTTCCGAATAAAGCAATTGGTACTACATTTGTAGTATATGAATTTAGCATAATATTCACAGCAACCAAATTGTCCCTGTCTCTAGCCCAGCCTTGCTACTCTTCCAACTGAAGCCTTAAATAGGCCGAGTCACCAGGGACAGGCAAATGTAATGATTTTTCTCTCTGACCACGCAGTCATCACTGTAACCCAAAACATGTAAGTGGCTCTCACAAGCCTTGTTTTGAGGTGAATCTGAAGTAAAAAAAAAAAAAAACGAATTGTCCCTGTCTCTAGCCCAGCCTTGCTACTCTTCCAACTGAAGCTTTAAATAGGCCGAGTCACCAGGGACAGGCAAATGTAATGATTTTTCCATTAGTAAGATGAGTTTGCTCATCAGACAAGTTTGTAAGCTAGATGTACGTAATAGTCCGTGTTGATTAGGCTTGTCTGCAGTGTAGAGACCGATATTGAACAGTCTGGGACAAGCACATAGGAGGGCCTGCATGCCCTTTTCCAAAGAGCGTAATCCGCTGTTTTAATTCTACGTAGAGCGTAGATGGACCGCTCTAATTCAACGTATTCAGCACATTTTGCATACAGCGTATTCGCCGTTTTAATTCTAAGTAATGCGTTGTAGCCACTTGGAATTTAATGTAAAGCGTAATCGGAAGGTTTCCTGAATTCAGCGTAATACATAGCCAACTCTCAAAATTTAGCGTAGAGCGTTGTCGGGACCCCCCCATGCAGGCCCCCATGTATTAGGCTTGTCTACAGTGTAGAGACTGATACTGCATGGCTCAAAATTCATTTTTGGGAATAGGTGCACCCTAAAAAATTGGGTGCACAAAAAATATTTTAGGTGCACCATATTTAAGATAAAATAAGTAGAATGTCAGCAAAAACTATAATTATGTTTCATTATATAATAATAATGATTGTATTATTTTTTCTGAGAACTTAGATGTTAAGAATATGCTGTAACTACTATACATTTAACATCTTCACATACGTTTAACCTAAGAAAATATTTGGGTGCACTGGTGCACCCACAGAAAAAAAATGGGTGCACAGCTCCAAATTTGGGTGCACTAAGGTGCACATGCACCCAGTATTTCTAGCCCTGTACTGAAGAGTCTGGGACAAGCATGTAGTGGGGTTGGCTTAATTGAGACATTTCAAACCGCGTCATGTGGCAATTGTCTTTTGTATCAGGTCATCTTGTGTCCATTTGAAATATGTAGCACTGGAAAATGATCTTTGATCTACTGTGATGTGTTTTGGGGTACAGTATTAAATAAGAAGGGTAACATTTTGAATGCTCACAGTATTACTGATATATTGTTTTTTCTTCCACTTTTTCACTGTATATGTTAGATAGTAGAGATCTTTTGGGCAGAGACTCCAATCAAGATGCTGTTAATGTTGGTTAGTATTCACATTTACAAATTTCAAGTCAATTCATTGATTTAAAGGGGCATGAATTAAAGTTGAAAAGTTTGTTTGTTTGTTTAGTTTCTCCTTCCTATTATAGCCTCCATAACATGCCAAAAACTGGGGGTTTTGGGGACTTTAGGGTCTTTGGGCACTTCTACGTGTTATTTTCTGATTGCATATAGATAACATAGCCGGCCTGGTTGAATTATCCGTTTTTTTAGAACTGGGCTATTAATAAATCAGAAAATAGCCGAAGACTACCAAACCCCCAGTTCTATAAGCCTGCTACGGAGGCTAATCCTAGCCCACCTTTATTTAGAGCAACTGAGTTGGGACAGGCCTACTGGTCCACCTTGAGAGTAATTCATCATTTGTGTACTGAATTGTGCATACCGGGTCCTCCGTCACTGTTAGTGGTGGAATGAAGGGTGTCCTCAGTGATCCCACATCCAATCTACATGGTAATTAATCAAGGGTGTGTTGGTCAGCAATTTGGTCTAGAAACAGGTGGGTCTTAGTCTCCACCAGACTCCTTTGCAGGATGAATAAATAGTAGAAATCGGCTGAAGGGGACAATATTTACCAGAGGAACAAGCTGGACCCTCTATGGCTTTCCAACTCCTCTGGTAAATGATGTCCCCTCAGTCAATTTCTACTATTTATTCAGCCTGCAAAGGAGTTTGGTC